AGCAGCTCTGAGCAGCTAATATTAGGGCAATAGAAAACTATAACAAAAATAGTTTTCTTGTGAGAAACTCCATAAATTAACAGGAAGAAACTTCTGTTTCTCTATAAAGACTGGTGAACATACTAGCAAGAATTGGGACTGTTTTAACCATCAGAGTTCCAGAGTTTTTGTCTCTGTTGTCATGTGAACAAGAGAATAGTGGGTGGATAGGAGATGGAAAGGTTTTTCTGGAAGTTTATTCTGGTGTTCTTATTATTGTGGTTTGTCAATAAACTTTCTTTTTTTCCCTTTTAAGTTGTATGCCTGTTTTGCTCTTATTCTAATCCATATCTCACAGCAAGAAGTAAATAATTTTCTTAGTTAGTGGTTTAAAACCACGACAATCATTCATATTGAGTGCTGCATTTTCTCCCGCTGAAGTCATCAACTGATGGGCTCACACGTTCCCAAAGCACTGTGCTGCTGCTCTCCTAGCTTGTTCTCTGCCCATGGGGAGACACAGATTCCAAAGTGACACTGGCAGTACAATCAGGGTCCAGCTGGGTCTGAATCCCCAACAGACTCTTGGGCAGCTGACAGGAAATGTGTGTCATTTCTCAAGGGTCTGCTGAGGGCCTCTCTCCCCTTCTGCTCTGTCCTCTTTGTCTTTCCATAGTCACTCACACTCAGCCCTGTCCCACAGCTCCATCCTGGCTCTGCAGGTGGTTTCCTGTGTGATTTCATCCCTTGTGAGAGACACTTGTGGAGTTCATGTTCTCTTCAGGCCTGCACCATCATTCCTGCCTTTCTGACATCTACACTCTTGTTAGAAATCCTGCTCGTTCAGGAGATAAGGATGTGTGCAATTTGATCCTCTGATGGAGGTCAGAGAGCCCCTATGGCCACCTGAGTATATGGAAGAGGACCAAGGTGTTTATCCTCCCTCTTTTGTCAGCTGAGAATTCTGAGCAGCACTAACAGAGATCCTCCAAAGGCCCCATCAACAAATGAATTGACACACCCCTAGGGATGCCAATGAAGGAAACCATGTGTCATGTAATGCATGTATGACCAAAGTCTCCAAACTCCACCTAGAGCTTGAGATTGTTCCACTCCCTTAGGACATGCAGCAATTTGTTGCATAAAAAGAAGGTTTCACAGCAGAAGAGAGTGGAGGGGGAAAAGAGCTCTGAGGGGGAAAATCAACCATCTCTGCAGATGGAATCATCTCTGCCTGCTCTGGATCAGTCAATGGAACCTGTCTTTCCTCCTCTCCTCAAAGGGATGCCTTTAGGTCACCTTTATACCTTCAACTGCTTTGGGGAAGAGATGGAAAGATTCCACAATGTAAATGTTAGGTAGATAGATAGATAGATAGATAGATAGATACATACATACATACATACATACATACATACATACATACATGATAGATCTCAGATATAGAGATCTGATTATTACATATAAATTCTCTTTACTGTTCTTTCTGTCCCAGCACATATCAACACTTGGTAGCCAGTGCCCCCATCAGCAGCAATGCTGAACTTGCTCTCCTGTTGCTTCAATAAATCACACTCTTGGGGAATCTGGAGCACGCTGGTTCTTATGGAATGTGATCACACCCAGAGCACTGCACTGGGAACTGCACTCTGTGCATCTGTGCTGAGAGAAGTTCTTCTTTTGGACTCGACCACACTGATGGTGCTGAAGTGGCTGCAGTCAGAAATGAAGCCCAGCCCCTCTCAGTTCCACTGATCACTGAGGACCAGCTGGAATGCAAGGCCATTGATTTCCTGCCCGATTTCCAACACAACACAAACTGCTCCCATGACAGGGGCTGGGATGAGAGCTGCCAAAGACACGGACACTGTTAATCTGAAATTGATGTGCAAGGCCTAGCTGACTGGCCAAGAACCAGAACAGCTCCTCCTGCACCAAAGTCCCCACCTCAAAATGAGTGTTCTTGTGCTAAAATACTCCATCGTTCAGAGCTGCCATATGGAAAATTAAAATTATATCAGAACCTCTCCCAGTACTGGAAAAAGGCAGGAAATATGCAGCAAAACAACTTTCCATTGTGGAAAAAGTAAAAAAAAAAAAAATACAACAGGTTTTGATTCCTAAGATTGCAAAAATGCAACCAAAAACAACCATAATAATGAGACCCCCTCTAGTGTCTAAAATAATAATTGGATGCAGTGAGGGGATGCTGATGGTCCCTCATCAGCCTGCCTGTCTCCAGGCTAAAGCTTCCTCAACACCTCCTCATTGGACCTGTCTTCCACAGCCTTCCCCAGTGCCCTTGTCCTTCTCTGGACACACTCCAGCCCCCCAGTGACTTCCCCGGAGCAGCCCACTCCTGGCCCGGTGCTGGGAGCTGGCTGGGGAAAATGCGGCAGCATGTCATGGCAACAGTTTAACAAAAGCCAAAGGACAGATGGGCCACCAGACTCTGTAAAAGTGAAGAATTGTTCACAAAACTACAGAGCTGTTTCACTAGCTGAACACAGAGTTCTAAAAAGGGAAAGCAAACAAACCAAGCCCTGTGAGGCCCAGAACTCCTACCAGTGCCCTTGCCCATGGCATTGGAGAAGCCAAGAGACAGAGCTGCACTGAGCCAAGCAGCCACATGCTCGCCCGCACATGAGCACCAGCGCTTTGGTGCCTCAGCACGACAGCTCAAAGCCCAATTCCCAGCTGTCTTGTGCTGGAGGGAATGGCTAGGTGCTGCCAGGACTCCAGCCCTCAGCACCCTCAGCCTCCAACAGCAAGCGCTGGCTGGCCAGAAACTTGCAGCTCTGCCCCTCACTAAAGACAGCTCCACCCAGAACTGGCACTTAGTGGCATGAAATTTTCAGGCTACTTGTGCTCTGCTTGTTCAATTTGCTCTTCTTTGGGCTCTTCTCCAGAAGCACAGGGAGCCAGGGAAGAGACTGCTGCTGGTTCTGGGCTCTGTGGAAAGAGACAAGCAGGAGAGACAGGTCATTACTTATTACTTCTAACTTGATTGCTTTTCACATCTACAACCTGCTCTACTCAGGCAAAATCATCAGCTTTGATAACAAAAGGAATCTAAGTCACTCCCACTAATTGAAAAAGGGTTAATTCAAGCCTCTTGCATATGGTTGTGAATTCCATATTCCTCTCTGGCTACTAGCAGGAAGCAAGGTTCCCTGGGCAAAATGGAGCTTTTAGTTCTTTAAAGCTCTGAAATGGAAAATTAGGAAAGTAGCCACACCTTTGCTTTTGCTGCTGCATGGAAAAGTATTTATTTTCAGCCTACTCAGCTGGCTATCTATACTCTAGTGCTGCAGACTAATGTCACAGTTTGCTTTACCATTCCTAAACACTTGAATATCAAAGGTTCCTTTCTCACTCACCTCAGGATCGGCACCTCCGAATATACACCTCAGGTGACCTGCAGTGAGCAAGGGAAAATGAACGCAATGGGGTGAGAAAACTTCCTGGGCTGCTGAATCCCATAGAATAAGTGAACCCAAACAGAGGGTATTTTCCTCTGACAGCATCCCTCAGGAGACACAATTCTTTCACACATGCAGCAAGGGAACAGGGCAATGTTCTTGGTCGTGCCTGCACTTTGGCCTGTTTTGCAGGTATATGAATAGAATCTCAATCAAGATAATGCACATTATTTTTTAATGCTCAAATCTTCTGTTCTACCCAAGACATACGGCATCTTTTTTAATTCTCTCCTACAAATACCTTTCTTCTTTTTTTTCCTTTTTTTATTTTTAATTTATTTTATTTTATTAGTTGAATGCATTAATTCTCAGTAACTTTCTGAAAACAGTTGCCCAGAACAGCTTTCCAAAGTCCCCCTGGGCTGTCATGTGTCTGGGTGGCCTGGATAAGTTCAAGATGTGTTTTTCTCCAGCTGCAGTTAGAATTGTGTGCCAAAGCCCCGGCTGTTTCTTGGTACTTGAACAGGAGGATGAGCCTGCAGTCAGGTGCCTGGGGCTGGGATCCAAGGGGTGCAGTTGACGCCGGTGCTGTTCCTTTAGCACAGGAGCAGGGCCATCCCTGGGTTGCACAGCGCTAGTGACAGTGAGGGCTCCCCACCATGCCCACTAGCTGAGCTCAGCTGCAGAGGGACAGGATAAAACCTCCTTTTTGACCTCTGCTGCTGTGGGAAAAGTGAAGGAAGTTTTCCTCTGGCTTGAAGAGGATCAAAGTCTCCTTGGTCAGCATCTATTTCATTGCCACCAGCACTGGTGGGCGTTTTCATGCAGACTCCTAGGCCTCTCCCCACTGTCATTTCTGTCTGTTTTAAATGCTTTCTGCATCTGCATTTATTTCAAGAAGTAAAACAAAAAATTGATGATTTTTGTTTCATGGAAGCTGTGCTTGAGGGACCAACAAGCACGGCAGTGATCTCTTTTGTGCAATAATCCTTGGAAATAGTATAGCTAGACCAAATTCCCCCTCCCAAATGGCCTGTCAAGCTATTCACACAAGCTGGTGTGAATCCTCAGAGAAGCAAAAGCTGCATTTGGTGATGGAGTTCTCATTAACCAGAGAACTAGTCAATGAAAATCAGCTGCCAAGGCAAGATCTGCTGGATGTTGGAAAAGCTGGGGCTGCCTCGGTGTTTAAGTTTTTTATTGGTATAGGAAAGTCATCTCAGAATCTCTGCCAGGGCAAAAAATGTCACTGCAGAGTGGAGCTGGAACAATGGGCTCTGGGAGAGCAGTTGCAGATGGGAAAGAAGCAGGTGGAGCCTTGTGTTTCCTTTTTCTCCAGCCTCAACTCCTGATGAACATAAGAGGGACACCAAAGCTGTGGCAGCCCAACCTATTCTCGCTTTCGCTGCATGACTTCCTGAACTGCTGCCTGCAGACAGATGAGTCACAGCGCTGGTCTGCTGAGGAGCTCCTGCAGGTAAAATGCCAAGGGGCTGCAGGTGAAACAGTGTCTGAGGGATGGGCTCCTCCTCCGCTGAAATGCAAGGCATCAGATGTGCCCCCCTCCTCCTCACCTCCAATCTTCCTTCTGTTCAAATGGAAATGGCGAGGAATTCTAGCAGGACTGGCAGGGACCTGTAAAGCTCATGTGGTCCAAGTGCCCTGCAATGAGCAGGGACATCTTTAAAGGGATCAGGATGTCCAGAGCCCTCTCCCACCTGCCTGGAATGGTTCCAGGGACAGGGCACCTACAAGCTCTTAGGACAACCTGTGCTAGTGTTGTTTGTGTGTCCAAGGAAACAAGTTCTTCCTTAGACTTCTTCTGATTCCATCCCCTTTTTCTTTAAACATATTAGCCCATGTCCTGTTGTCACTGGACCTATTCAAAAAGATGTCCTGCACACCCTCAGAAGCCACTCTGAAGTTTTGGAAAGTGGCTAGAAAGTCTCCCTGGGGCCTGTTCTTCTCCAGGCTGAATAACTCCAGCTCTCTCAGCCTGGCAGAGAATTTCTAGAGCCCTGCTAGGGCAAAAGTCCCATCAAAATGAAGAAAGAAGAATCAATGGATAAGTGGGATTCTGGGCCAGGTTTGCCTGTGATGGCAAGGTCCTGCACGTGAAGATGGAGGTGCAGATGCCCCCATTGGTCCCCTTTCTGGGTCTGTCTGGGAACCAGAGGAATCCTGATTGAGGCTGTGAAGCATTGAGCTTGGAAATTCATGGTTAATTGAGTTTTATTGATTTCTTTTTTTCCCTTTTGGGCAGCATCCACTTGTAACATTAACTGAGCCTGTGTCCAGCCTGGTGCCGCTGATCATTTCAGTGAAGAGGAGGAAGGAGGAGAAAACATCAGGACCAGTGTAGAGTCAGTTTGTAGACTAGGATTGTAGAGTAGGGTTATAGAGTCAGATTGTAGACTAGAATTGTAGAGTAGGGTTATAGAGTAAGATTCTGAACTAGGATTGTAGAGTAGGGTTCTAGAGTAGGATTGTGGACTAGGATTGTAGAGTAGGGTTATAGAGTAGGAGTATAAATCAATAAAATTTCTAAAATTTTAACTCACCTGGAAGATTGCTTTCTTTCTTATCCTGTGAATAAACTCAGCATTTCCTTCTGACTTATCAGTTGTCTCTTCAAGGTGCAAAGTGATATTCATGGCTTCTTTGGTGTTATAAATACACTAGAAAGAGATATATAAGGAAAGGTTTTTATTAATTATAGCAAGCCAGCAATAAGCAAAGTCGGCACCGGGCGGCAGGGAGGAGGAGGAGAAACCTCTTCCCCACGGAGCTTCTGCGCTTCCCGCTTCCGTGTTTGTCCTTTTATTCGTTTCGGCCTCCGGGTGATGTGGCTTTCCTCCGGCATTTCTACGCATGCGTCTCTGGTCATTAGATGATCTTTCTCTGCCCTCTTGTGGTCGTAGAAGAGAGGCTCCAAGTCTTCCTCACTCCTATTCCACTGACCTTTTCTCACTGTTTCTCTCTCAAAGTTTATCTTGTCCTAGTGTTCCAGGAATTTCTGCTAGGCTGTTATTAATTATGCCAGCTTCAGCAAGTTAGTGGCCTTCAGCCCCTTTCTCAGCTTTATATCTAAAATACAATTTCGCAAAGCATTCTATCATATCTATATATTTAGGTGAACAAAAGAGTTTCTATCACATTTGGTGTGCTTTGAAAGTGGGGAAGGCTCTTCTTCAGTCATCCTCTCCAAACTGCACTGCCTTTGGAATTTGGCTCACTGGCTGGGTTTTGCCCAGCTGTGTGGTATGTCTAATTGAGGCAGAAAGGGCAATGGCATTTGCAGGTACAAGCAGTGGAGGGGTGGGGCAGCCGAAACATCCTGTGCAGATGCAGGCCTTCAGCTGTGACTCCAGAGCATTTGGGTTGCTGCCATTTGGATTTGTATCCCTGTGGTAGTTCCACATTGATTGATATTTGGAGAAGGAAGAAACCACCTATGGAAGAGATTTTTCGGAGAGAAGCTGCTGGGAGCTCCTTCTGTGCCTGGGAAAGGTCAATAGCTGGCTAGTGCTGAGAAGTGACAACATTTTGAACCATTTAGAAATGAGGTCTGCCTCTGTGAGATCTACATTTTTAAAAATAAAGCTTGGGAAATCTCTCTCTTGGCTTCCGGACCCAGAAGGTGACGGAGCTCTGGTGAGGCCGGCCCTGCTCGCCCACGGCCTATGCTTCTGGGAGAGGCTGGGCCAGACCCCAGTGGCTCCTGGACAGGGATGGAGGCTGCAGAATCCCATCCACATGCAAGGCTGGGCCACAGCTGCTGACATCTCGCTGACACTAAACCCTCTCCCCAGCACACACCGACGGCTCCAGGCCGAGCCTCCCCTCCCAGCAGCTGCCGGGCAGAGAGAGGGGCCCAGGGCAGCCTGAAATCATCATCATAATTGCTGCAGCCACTGCCCACGACCATCTGCAGACCTGGCAAGATTTAAGCCTTTCATTTAACCCTATCAGTGCACAGATGAGACCTGCAAACCACCATTCTCCCCTCAAGAGAAAAGGACAAAGAGGGGACACGTAGAAGACAACATGAAGACACTGGGGTCATTAAAGAAAGAATCAAAGAAGGTGAATGAGGAGATGTCTCAGTGTTGGGCTGAAAAATTCTTTTGGTAGGGCTATGGAGATAGAAAATGATACACAGAAATATCTCCTTCAATTCATGAGAGAGGATGGGGGAATGAAGCATTCAAACTGTGCATGTGAACATGCATTGGTAATGCATGCATGCATTGGTAAGAAGCTGTCGTTCTGATTGGGAACGGCGATAAAGAACGACATGGACTCTCTAGGAGTCAGAACACGAGAATTCTCTGGTTTATTACTTCAGGCCTGTTTTATAGACTGGTACGTGGAAGGTACAGAAAAGAAACTCTTAATGGTTAGTAAAGTGCTACATCACCATCATTGTTCAGGGGCACACTACCCCCCTGACTTTCTCCTGCAAGGGAAAACAAGAGGACAGACAAACAGCACCTGGCAGTTGTTTTCTGTCTCTGAGGATTGTTTTGAAATCCTCCTATGAATTTCCTAGGTTAGCTTCTCGGGCAGGACTGAGAGGCCATGGGCCTGCAGCCTGCTCCAAAGCTAGCATCCATAAGAAGCCAAGCAGATGTTGCAGTAGCTGTGATCCCATGAGAAGCCTGAACAGAGAGAGAGAGAGATGAGAGTGAGGAAGACCTCTTGGCCCCAGGGAGAGAAGAAGAAAAGCTCTGTTCCCAGAGGTGATGACAGAGACAGATGAAGGGAACATTTGCCTTTGAACAGCTCATCCTTAAAATAATACCCCATGGCTGTGAAAATGGGAAGGATTTCACAACTGCAGAACTTAACCTGGGCAGATGCTATCTGTGGAAATGAAAAGCCATGAGAGAACTGTTTCTTGTAGAGAAGTCTTGGTGGCATGGCAAGAGAAATCTTCTCTCCCTTCACGAACAGACAGAGGTGTATTGTATTGTTGGTACTGATTTAACATCCCATGTTTTGTGTCTGTGCTGTCAGCTTGGAAAGGAAAGAAGTTAGTCAGGGGGAGGAAAGGAGTCCTGGAAGTCTTATTCTGATGCTTCTCCTTCTTGTAGTCCTGTTAATAAAGTTTCTTTATACCTTTGAAGTTTTGAGCCTGTTTTGCCCTTCTCCTAATCTATATCTCCCAGCAAAAACAAATGAGTAAGTGCACTGGTGATTTTAGCCGGTGCTAAACCCACCACATTATTTAGTAATTATAAAATAGAATTATTACAAGAAAAATAATTGTCCTGGTGTGACTTTATATATCTTGAGTTCTGCACCTTTAAGGTTTGCTTTGGGAGCTGGGGGGAAGCTGAAGCTGCTGGAGGCTGATGGGACTTTTTTCTCCTGACCAATTACTAGTCATTTCTGAGAACTCACAGTGATTCTGACCATTGAAAAGTGAGAGCAACTTGTGAATACCTATCATAAGGCTTAAGATTGGGAATTTCTTGTTCTCTTTGGTTTCCAGCTTTTGAACAGGTCACAGGGCTCTGGCTCCGGCTCGGCCTCTTCCTCCCCAACCAGGCTGGACAAGGCCGTGGAGGGTGGGGGGAAGGAGAAGAGCAGAGGCGGCCGGCCTGACTTGGTTTGCAGTTTGTGCCACTGAACTGAAACCTGACTCCATGAACATCTGCAGCTTTCCAAGACTTGAACTCTTTTACTACCTGGATGAGACTTACAGATTAATCCTTTTTTCCCAGAGAGAGGGGAAGAGAGAGAGTGGGATAATCAACATGAAGAAGGCACAATAAAACCATCAAAGTCAGTGAAGAAAAGAATTAAGTTTTAGATGGGGAAGAGAGAATAAGGAGATGCTTTAATAAGCTGAAATATTTTTCTGTTAAAGCTATAGAGATGGACAATAGTGTTCTGAAAATAAAAAACTCCTTTAATTCATGACAGAGTATATTGAGAGGAATAGAGTGTTTCAAAGTGTGGATTTTGAGCAAAAGGTGGAGTAGTTGTGATACAGTGAGGTGCTGGAACAGAGGAGGAGAAGTAATAGTTGAAGATTTGTGGCTTTGTAGAGGCAAAGAAAACCTTCTGTTTCCAGGGAGGCTCAGAGAGACAGATGAAGAGAACTTTTGCCTTTGAATAACTCATCCTTAAAAATGACATCCCTAGACTCATTTGACCCATAACACACCTCAGAGTGATGTGAAATGGGAGGAGACAACTGATGGCAGATTTTCGGGCAGCTGGCATCAGAGAAATAGAAAGCTATGGAGAAAATTATTTCTCTTGTAAGAAACGCCATAGATTAGCAGAAGAAGACTTCTGTTTCTCTATAAGGACTGATGAAAGGACTCTAGCAAGAATTGGGACCGTTGTAAACACCAAAGTTTTTTTTTTGTTTCTATGTTGTCAGGTGAACAAGGGAATGGTTGGGTAGTGGGGGAGAAAAGGGTTTTCTGGAGGTTTTATTCTGGTTTTCTTATTCTTGTAGTTTTGTTAATAAACTTTCTTTATTCCTTTTAAGTTTGCAGCCTGTTTTGCTTTTCTTCTAATCCATATCTCCTAGCAAGAAATAAGTAAATTTTCTAGTGATTTTTTTAATTACTGCTATAAAACCACAACATTTATTTGGTATGTTGGCTGGGAAACAAAATTAACAAATCTAAACCACTACAATCCCTAGGTTCAATCTCTTTGGCTGGAGGAGACTCATGCTCAAGTGAGAAAGCAGAACGATCAGTGGTGGTGCTCTGCAAGGTCTCCTCTGGTGCAGAGCTGTCAGCGACTGGGAGGTGAGAGCAGGCTGTAAGAGACGGTGCCAAGTTTCCCTCATCTGCTTCACAACCATGGCAAGAACAGAGACCGAGACCCTGAAGACCACAAGGGACTTTGTGCAGGGCTTCTGGCCTGGTTGAGGTGGATGTTTGCTAAGTGATTGTTTGGAGGTGTGCTTGACCTGACACCAGGTTTCCAGAGCAACAGGTCACAGCACAAGAGTGATTGTTTGCAG